GTGCCTGCGCTGCTCGGGTGCCTCGTTCAAGCAGCAAGGTTGACATTTGCGCAGTGCATGTTGCAAGCTTATGTTTCACTCAAGTGTTTCAGATGTTTCATCTGGATGTTGCAAGTGTTTCATCTTGATGTTCAAAAATAGATCGTGATGTTGCATATGTTGCAATGGCTATACACGTATGTTTCAAGTGTATGTTCCAAATATTTTTATCTGTTTTTAGACGTTCGTTGCAAGTGTTTCATCCGAATGTTGCATATATTTCACACGTATGTTGCAAGTGTTTATTGGAATGTTGCATATGTTTACAATGGTTTTCAAGAGTTTTCAAGTGTTTTGTAAGCGTTTTAGACGCATGTTGCAAGTGTTTCAGCTGTTTCGTATGTATGTTGCAAATATTTCATCTGGATGTTTCCAAAGTAGATCGGGATGTTGCACATGTTGCAATGTGACTCACCCTACCACAACCTGCTTGGGCGTCGTGCATGTGCGTGGGGGAGTAGAGGGATGGAGCGCTGCTTGGCAATGGGTGCGGAAGCGGAGGGCGATGGCGGCAGGGCGTAAGCGGTCCCTGTGCAGCATGCAGGTGCGACAAGCGGAGGGGGCGTGGGGCGTCCAGACACAGGTGCGAAGTGGGGCGCATTTCTTGAGAGCAGCAAACGCTGGCATCAGGCGCTGAAACGGACTGCAACCATGGGCGTTCGAGCACTAGCAGTGGCATTTTTTTCCATATACAACAGACTTGTGTCGTGCCCAGATGATAAAAGTGACCCAAGTATACCAATCGAAGTGCCATTTGAAACAGCTCGGGCCTGGGGGTCCTATTCCGTTGCGCATTAGCAGACAAAGCCGAAGCCCAAGCCTATGCTGGGGGACTTAGGCTGGCCTCCCAATGGTGTCCAGATCGAGGATTGTGGAATTAGATAGCACCATGATTTTTTTATCAAAAGATACCTGTATTGAAGTTAAGGATACAGTACAAAGACCCGTACAAATACAGATACGGTGAGGTAGGATATAGAGGACAGTTGTTCCGCCTTAATTGCATAGAGGCCCTTGATAAACAAAGAAATTACAAATAGGTCCCTAGGACCTCCACACGCTGAAGCTTCCTGAATCCTCTGCCTCCAGCCGCTGCCAGAGGCCACCAGAAGCCATAGCCACCAATCCCAGGTCGGAAGGAGCTCCATCGCCACATGGCTTTGAGAAGAACCACAATAGACACTCGCCATGTTGAACGAGATGAAGCCAATGCTGAAAATCCATTGGTCGGGGCACACCACAAGCTCTGACAACCTTGGAACCAAACTCGCCGACGACGATTGAAGCCGCCGCGGGAAGACCGAGTCTGCTCCACTCTCCAAGCTTCCACAAGATCCAAAGCCGTCTCTACATCTATAGAGCAAAAGGCCGGCGGACATACCTCCCACATGGGACGACAAGTCTTTGGTGGACTCATGTACAGAGGGTCCACACAGGAAGCCCCTCCTCCACGGGCTCGTGCGCCGGAGTGAAGCACCATCAAGACGCGGAAAAGCACGAGAGGACCTTATTCCTTGACGCCGCCGCCGCCGTCTCGACGACGTCGCCGGAAACCTAACCCTAGATACCCTAGGACCTAATCTACACCGTCGGACAGAGAGCCACCGTTCCCACACACATCCGAGGGCCAGAAGGCCGCCGGAGGCGGAGGGGAACGGCGACCTCACCGGCAGGAGCACGAATCACCTCCCTTTCTCCTCTCTCAACTGTAGCGGGGTCGGGATCGTTCGAGAGCGAGGTTAACTGAGGAAGGCGGAGCGATGAAATCAAATAGCCGGGAGCGTTCTGAACTCCGGTACATCATCCTTGGAGCACCCATACGGGAATTTGCGAGACAAGCACTGCGTGTGTCTTGGATCTTTTGAACAATGATTGTAATGTTTTGGATGGTTAAATAAAGCTCCAAAAGGTAAGGAGAGAGTGCAATTTGGTGGCTCACGAGCTGGGTCAATTAGCTAGGCGAAACACCCATACGGTAATTTGGTTGAGACAAGCACCTGCGTGTGTCTTGGATCTTTTGAACAATGATTGTAATGTTTTGCTTGGTTAAATAAAGCTCTCTTTATGCTGAAAAAAAAGAAGAAGCGTCATTTGAAGCAGCTGGGGCCTCAGAGCAGGAAGCCTTTTGGCCCATTACAACAAGCTCGTGCTCAGCGGCACAGATGGCAAAACTGGCCCTCTCAAAAAAGGAAAGATGACAAAACTGGCCCAAGTGATAATTGAAGCGGCCGAAAACGAAGCACGGAAGCAGCCTCTCTCTCTCTCTCGGAATGCATCTATTCTTTTTTAAAATCTGCTAAAAAATCTATTCTTTTTTAAAAAAGAAAAGAAAAGAAAACGAACATTAAATATAAAAAACGATGAAGAAGATTTCCGGTTTCAGTCTTACAGAGATTACGGCACAACTCTGCTAAAAAATATTCTTTTTAAAAAGAAAAGAAAAGAAAACGAACACGGAAGATGCTTTCTCTTACATATCCCTGATGTGCTATATCCCTGTGTCTGACTCGTCCACGCTTTTCCTCCATGATTTGCTCTCTCGACTCGGTCAGTGTTTTTGCGTCTCAAGGAAAACTACGTACGTATTTGTGTTCGCAACTAAGCACGAGGTAATGCAATAATGCTCATTCCATGACCATGACACGGGGGCACATGGTGCAGGTTCAGAGCAAAGCACAAGCAGGCAGACAGCACATCTGCTAAATTACAAGGAGATCTGTGCCGGGTCTGGAGTACTCTAACTATTATATTATATATAATCACCGGGGTTCACCGGCCGTATCAGATGACCGATCGGTTTTTAGATCACTACTACTAACACCGCAGGGATCAGTGGCTCTGAAGAAATCAAATGGTTGCAGCCTGAATCCATTCAAAATCCCCTCAATCCCTTTGAATCTCCTCGGTTTATGAATTAACCGAACAATCCCTCGCGATTAGGTTCCCTGTGTTTCCTGCGCTGCAACTCTTACCGTTACTCGGTTATTACAGTTTCGGGCTTCAGTTTCTTGCCCATTCACTTGTCCAACTCCCATTGAAATTCGCAACAGGGTTACGTTTCAGGCATCAGTTTTTTTTTTTTAAAGCTAGTATCAGTTTGGAGGAGCGCTTTTATAAGAGTCACGCCACGTCCATCCTTCTTGCACAGCATTTGCACTCTTTTCGATTATGCTGAAATTTAGTTTATGTGATGCTTATGCTGATTTGTTGTGCTCTTTTTCATTTAGCAACTCCAAGCCCAGAAGCTCCGAGAACAGCAGTTCTTTGAACAAGGTACCGTATCTAGAAGCAAAGATTATCGCGTTTTACCGATTCATTCGTACGAATTCCACATTTTGCATTCCACGGGAACAATCCAATTCAACTCAACGCAAGCTGTTCACAGACACCCTCCGGTAGTCCGCCTGCCATCTTGCAGCAACTTTCTTTATCATTTCCCCCTTTTTCCTAGTAGAAAAAATGCAATCTTGACCACAACAATCTCACACCACATGGCTGGCGAGCGGCGACAGGTCACCAACTCACCATGTGCGAATATTTATTCCCTGTCTTCTGTCTATTTCTCCCCCATGTCCCTCTCCGCCTCCGCCGGGGCCCTGCCCATCTCTTCCTCCTCTGGCCGTCTGGCGGTCTGGCCTACCACGCTGGGCTGTTTAATGACTGAAAATATTATTGACTAATTTAGTATGAGAAAAAAAATATATAATTTATAAGTCAAATAAATTCAAGCGAACGGGTGAAAACTCGGCTGGCTGGCTGGCGGCTGCGGTCACACTACTCAACTGTGAACAAAAAGGTCCATGCTTCTTCCCCCTTTCGCTTCCTTTTTCGCCCAGCCATGTAAAAGCAACAGTAGTAAGTACTCCTAGATCTTGGATTCGTATCATCACTCCACCAGGAGTAACGCACGTAGCAGCAGGAGTCGGTGGGCAGCAGCCTCTTCTCCTCGTGGTGCCCTGCATGTTTCACAGCTCTCCCACGCGTTTGCTTCAAGCATTGACCGGGGACCGAATCCAGTCCACTTGCCTTTTCGGCTGTTCCTGACCCCTTCCCGTCATCTTCCCCACCTGTCTCTGCAGGAGCTTGCGGTTTGAGCGCGCGGATGTGGCGGTGGCGGTCGTGACCGGCGCCGGAGATCTTGGGTGCGTGCGAGATCCTGGGCTGGGCTCTATCTCTGAAGGCGCCGCCCGCCACCCTGTTGTTTATCCTAAGGTGAGTTTGGGCTGCTGGTGCTGCTTCCTTCCTTGTTGCATAATCTGCTCTGTTTCTTTCTAGTTCGTAATATGTTTCAGTTTATTGATTGATGGATTCAGTTAAAGTTTGGAGATGAGGTTTCCTTCCTAGCTAATCCTGCTGCATTATGAGGCCATGGTTGATTGGTTCTCCTTTGATCTGGCCTTGCTTGCTTTAGTAGCGACCTCCATTTCTTTCTGAATGCATTCCTTGGGACGAAACATCCAGTTTTCTATGTCTTTGCCAAAAAAAGGAGATATTGGCAATACAAGCAGAAATCATCTTGGAAAGACGGACACCTGTGACTGGTTTATTTTTATTTTTACTGCACATGTTTACTGAGTCCATTGCTCTAATGAACTGAACAACTAATCTCCTGTACCATCGTACCTTTGTTTGAATTGGAACTCATTATATCATATTCCACCTAACAGGACTAGCTACCTTCCAAGGATTTGTACACTAATCTCTTGATTCGGACTACCTTCAATAGTAGGCTGCTGGCATTATTGTCTATTACATGCTGATGCCGCACTATTCTAACCTTGATTACTTAATGCTGAGTTCACCTCAAATGTTGCCATATTCATTTTTTCTGTATTATAAACAAATCAGCTCTCATATTTGTGACTGCTATAATTACTGTTACTGGTGCTGCACATTCTCAATTTTCAGAGAGTTTCTTCAATCTGATACCACTTCTAGCTTCCCTCAAAGATTTGTGAACTATGAAGCCACCTTTGGAGAGGAACCCTACAAAAAAGCGCCACTCTTGGTGGTGGGACAGTCACATTAGCCCTAAGAACTCGAAATGGCTTGCAGAAAATCTCGAAGGTAAGCGAAACAACAGCCAACAAATTTGCTACGTGCTATTTTTAGATTTAGATTTGCTATATGTGCTATTCCTGGTACTTGGTACTAGTCATATTATGTCAATGCATGCATAGGTACAGTACCATTTCTGATTGTCTATTTCACAGAGATGAGCATAAATGAATAATAAACCAAAGGAAGTGCAATATTTATACTTTCCATAGTACTCTGTCTCCGTATGTACATACAAAATATCTTAGTTACAGTAGCATCTTCTGATCTGAACCCGTTGGCAAGATTAGGATGTCATGTAAAAGATGTGGTACATACTTTCCATTGGTAGTTGCTGTTCGGTTCGTATTTGTACATGTGTATAGCCTTTTGTGAGTGTTCCTGGTAACATAATAAAAGGCAAACAGGAGTACACGTTTAAATTTAGCAGAAACTGGCAGTGGAGCGAAATTAATGCTGCTTTTGAGTACGCGCATATAAGAAATTGTGTATGTCCCACTGTGTGATACTGGTTTTTTTATGTTTTATCAATTCTTCCCTGAACTGAAACATGCAGAAATGGACAAGCAAGTGAAGGAAATGCTCCAGCTGATCGAGGAGGATGGCGACTCCTTCGCTAAGAAAGCACAAATGTATTACCAGAGGCGTCCAATGCTCATCACCCATGTCGAGAATTTCTATCGTATGTATCGTGCTCTAGCTGAGCGCTATGACAATGTAACCGGTGAATTGCGCAAGAACATCCCTACTAGGCTGCAGTTGACGGGATCTTTAACCAGTTCAGAGTATGGTTCTGAGCTGCAGAGGTCACCCTCACCATCTCCTGAGCCATTACAGAGGTCATGGACAAGGGAGCAGAGTCCTAGAGCTGCTGGCTTCGACTTCTTCCTGAGCAACAGGAACAATGACTCACCCGCCTCCAGGAAGGAACCTGAGGACTTGGCCTCACAGTCAGAGTCTGATGCGAAGTCTGAAGATGGTGACGATAATGGCATTGCCTACACACTGCATCAGAGAGTTCTCGAACTAGAGGACGAACTCAATACGACAAATCAGAAACTACAAGATGCGAATGAAAAGCTTGAGTTTTTGGAGGAGAAGAGCTTGAGGTGCCATTGTGATTATAAAGAGAATGGAAATGGTGCTGAGCAAACTACAGAAGTTTCAGACAAAGAGAGGGAGCTGGAAGCTGAAATTGTCAATCTCCAGGAGCAAGTGGATTCAGCAAGAAGGCAATTTGAAGAGGCATTGTCTGAAAGAGATGGAGAAATCAGCAAGTTAAAGCAAGAGCTTGCTGATGCTTCTGAAAAGTTGCTGCAAGAGAAGCACGCTAATGGCCTGCAGTTATCTGAGCTGCAACAATCAGTTGAATACATCAGGTCCAAACTAGAGAAAGTTTCTGAAGAGAAACTACTGGTTGAGAACAAGGTTAAGGAGTTGGAGGCAACAAATGCTGAAGCTGATAAGTACGGTCACGAACTAACCCAAGCTGCTGAGAAGCTTTCAGAGGAAAAGTTCAGGCATGAAGCTGAGATTCTCACGATGCGGCAGAACATTGAAGATCTGAAATCCGGAATCGAGAGCCTTGCTCGAGAGAAATCCCTGCTTAAATCATGGTTTGATGACTTGGAGCAAGTTGTGGGGCGAGGAAGGAGCATTTTCGCTGAGTAACCAAGTTTTTATCCAAAAGCATCAGTAGCTAGACTTTAGCAAGTTAGCAACATTTTATTCTATTTTCTCGTACGCATACCATCTTGCGAAATTAAGATATGTCAGTGTACTTCTCTTTTCCTTTGCTGGATCTTTACTTAGACGTGATGGATATTGGATGGTAGTGATGTACTGGCAATATATGAGATATTATACTGAACCGTACTCCACGGCAATAAAATTCCCATGGTGCGTCTAAAAGTTCTGTCTCAATGCACGTTCAGTCCAATTACTGCTACTGTTCGTATTGTTTGAAAACCACTGTTCATTCCTAAGGGCGCTTCAAATGTTCAAAGAAGCTCCGGTGGAGACCTGCTGAGGCGCACATCATTCGTGTCCAGGGGAGGATGAATGTTGGTGGGGGTGCTCACCGGCACTTCATCATGGTTCCTATCAACGACGACATGTCCTGGAGTAGCTATGTCAAGGCAGTTTTCAATGGGACTGAGTGGAATTGTCTGGAGATTTATGTTCAAGCAGAAAGGCGTTCCTCTGCAGAGGCCATTTCCTCAGAGCCGGTACTAGTGGCTACTGAACCAGCGGAGGATGTACAATACCAAAATGCCCAGCCTCAACATCAGGGTTCTTTTGCTGTTCCTTCGATGGAGACTGTCAGTCCCCCAAATGAGCGTTCTCAGTGTGCTCAGCTACAAAAGCCTAGAAGGAGCACAGGACCTATGCATACAATGTTGGTCAGTTTGCAGATGCAGAGGTTCAGTCTGGTCAAGGTCAGAATGGAGCTTCAGAGACCATTGACACAACTCCTTATCCTTTGATTGGGTTGTATGATGCAGATAATCGTGCTTGTGCTTCAGCATCAGGCCAGGTTGATAAAAGAGAATCTATAGCATTTGTGTTGTGCTGTATATTATTGTCAATTTGTCATCTCATAAATAATAACGAACCACTGATTTCTATCTTCGGTTGTTTGACACAGAATATAACTGAGCTCAATCCTCGTACTCGTGAGTCTCTTCGGTTTGACAAAAGGTATGAATGTTACCTTAGGCCAGCTGGGCTAATGGTGCTGGTGAACTTCTGAAAGGCTGGACTACCCTTGATCGTGCACTTCTCTCTGCACTATTTGATAGGTGGAGACTCGAGACTCACACCTTTCACATGCCCTGTGGTGAGGTCACAATCACACTACAGGATGTTGCAATGATTCTTGGACTTCCTATTGCTGGTTGTGTTGTTGCTGTAAACCCAATGAAGTCCCAGAATGAATTTGTTGAGTTATACCTTGGCAAGACACCGCCTCCACTGGATAGGCCCTGTCCTGGGTTGAGGGTTTCATGGGTCGTCAGGGCTGAGTTTAATAACTTTCCAGAAGATGCTGATGGAGAGACTGTCAAACAGCATGCCAGATGCTATGAGCACTTCACAAATGAGTTTGACTTGTTAACAAATGACCAGGTTGTGTGGTGCCCATACAGGGAGGAGGAGGATCGGGTGAAGGAAATGCAGCTTGCCCCTATATGTACCCAGGATTCTAATTTATGGTTAACCCAGGCACCTCTAATCTATATTTCTATATGGTGGAGTGGAGGTTTACACACCTGAGAGAGATGCGCCAATTTGGTCTCCATCAGGCCTGCCCACTGCCTTTACGTGACACTAGTGTGGAACTTCATTGGTATGTTCAAAAGATAATCATGTTAAAAATATTTTTCTCCTTTGTTTCTGTGTGTGGTTGTGTTACATGTAGTAAGTTAAAGATTTACCGGTAGGAAGTTACTAATCATCATTACCTTGCTGATCATGCACTTTTAGGCCTTGTTTGAATGTATATGTATCCACCTTAATCTATGTGTGTTTGGGTGGGTTGGACGGAATTAATCTCTAAGGCCTTGTTTGGATGTAGTCGGATTTACAGCAATCCACATGTGTTGGGGTGGAGAATAAATTTCACCCCAACACATGTCGGATTCAAGTTCGGATCCACTCCACCCACCCCAACACATGTGGATTGATGCGAATCCGACTATATCCAAGGCCTAAATGGAGTATTTTCGTTTCTGCTTGGTGACGATCCCTAGTGATCCGCATCTTTTACCAAGACGAGAGTATATATAGAAATACAGATAGTTTTGTTTATATGGCGTTCCGTGGATAGGAATTGATTGTTATATATATGGCATTCTGGGGATAGCAAAGGTGATATTTTGGTCGAGAAGATTTATTTCCTTTTATTCGATCGTTTGCCGATCGATGAAGGAGAAGCAAGCTATTTAAAGGGCGGAGCAGAGGCCAATTATATTAGCTAGGACAGGATCCATCTGATCTACAGCATATACACGACAACATGCACATACGGTGGACGACTAGCCGTGGCAGCAGCGGGCATCATCGATCGACGACCATGGTGCCATCGGTGGCGGCGTCGACGACGAACCGGGAAGAAGCGACGACGATGAAGCTGAAGCCGCAGGTCGACGAGGAGGAGAAGAGGAACAAGCAGATTGTTATTCCCCATGCGTTGCAGTGGATAATGGCGGCGTCCTCGTCGTCGCCGCAGACACTGACGATCGAGGAGGCGAACAGGAAGTCGGGGATGCGCCGCGCCGGGTTCTGGTTCTGTGCCGTCTACATGCTGCCTCTCTGCATCGGCGTCACCTCGTTCCTGGCCTACGAGTTCCACAGGAACGACCACGTCTTCCCCAGAAGCGCGCCGTGGCGCCCGCCGGCCGTCGTCGCGTGGGGCGTCTACATGGCGCTGGTGATGGAGTCGTTCTTTTTCATGTCCCTGTTCCTGCCCCGCGCGCCCGTCGCCCTGCGGGATGCTGTCGTCAATGTCGGCGTGGGTTGCTTCGGCGTACCACTGTGGTGGATCGTCATCCTGGCGGCATGCGTTAGCGGACACACCTGGATGGGCGTCGTCCTGGCTTTCGTCTTCGCTGTCCTCTTCCGCTCTGCTCGTTTAGGCTTGTTTGGCTGATAAGCTATGGCTGAAAGTACCGTTGATTGATTTGGTGTGAGAGAAAAATACTATTTATTGACTGAAAAAGTACAGCTTATAAGCCAAATAAGCCCAAGCGAATAGGTGTTCACTGCTGTCCTTGCGCTCTGGGTCTGGCTTGTTCGCATCATCGATCGGCTTTATTATTAGCTAGACTAGAAGATAGATTTCATTACCGTACATACAAAGTTATAAAGGGAAATTTTAGTCTTAGAGAAGGAATAATGTCCATGCGTTAGTTTGTAACAGGAGCCAAAAGTTAGAAAAAAAACAGAGATCGATAATTATCTAGTGGTCACTGCTTACTTGTGAAGTTTGTGAAGTTGACTTGTTTGGCTAGCAAAGTTAACAGTTCTAAAAATTTCATATTTGAAATTCTAAGAAGACTCATAGTCAAAGCCCATTTTGAATACCGTCCATCTTCAACAGTAACCTTGATGGATCGAAAGGCCCAAGAGGCGACAGCCTTATGGGCCGTGCAAGCGCCGATGCACTACTGCTTCCGCCTCTCAGCCGCCGCCGGCTGCGACTCTCCGCCGACGCGATGCCCCCGCCGGCGTCGCCCACCACTAACCGCGTCGCGCTCTACCTCCGCCGCGCCCGCCTCATCGACTCCCTGCGCGTCCGGCTCCGCTCGTCTTCCCCTTCCTCACCTCCTCCGCTCCCACCCGACGACCCCGTGGTCGCGCTCCACGCCATCCGCGCGGCGCCCACGCCGTCCTGCGCGCTCTCCCTCTTCCGCGCGCTCCCCTCCCAACCGCCGCCGCCGCTCCCGCTCTACCACGCCCTCGCCTCCCGCCTCGCCTCCCTCGCCGCGCTCCCCGACCTCCGCGCCCACCTCGCCTCTTTCCCGCTCCCTGCTCCGCCACTCGCGCGCCTCCGCCTCCTCGCCGCCGCGGGGGACCGCGCCTCCGCGCTCGAAGCCTTCGGTTCCCTCCCGGCCGCCCCGCGCCGGCCTGCGGAGGCGCACAACGTCGTCATCGAACTCCACGCGCGGGACGGCGAACATGACGCCGCCGTCGAGGCGTTCCGCCGCATGATCCGCGAGGGCGCGCTCCCGAATGCACGCACCTACACCGTCGTCATCGCCCACCTCGCCTCCGCGGGGTTCGTGGACCAGGCGCTCGAGGTGTTCCGCATCCTGCCGTCGCTGCGCGTGCGGCGGACCACCCGGCAGTACAACGTCCTCGCCGAGGCGCTTGCGTCGGCAGGTAGGTTCGACCAGCTTCGGTGGCTCGTCCGTGAGATGGCGGCTGTGGACGGCGTCATGCCCGGGCCTCAGATGCGCGCTGCCATCGCCGCCATGCGGGAGGCTGGCCACATCGATGGCACGGAGGATTTCGTCGAGGAGCTTTCACCCAACGCAAGGATCGGGTACGCCGTGGACGACGTCGAGGGCGAGGGAGACAGCGAGGCGGAGGACGACGAGGAAGGCGAGGACAAGGGCAGAAGCAACGGAGAAAAGCAGACACTGAAGCCATGGCTGGACCCACGCGAGCTCGCCAGGGCGTTGGATGGCTGGGACTCGCGGGAGGTGGCCGAGCTCGAGGACGCTGGGCTCGTCTGGACGCCGCGGCTGGTATGCAAACTCCTGCGCGCGTTCAAGAAGGCCGAGACGGCGTGGGAGTTCTTCTGCTGGGTGGCGTGCCGCCCCGGCGGGTTCGCGCATGACCGCGACACTGTGGCGAGAATGGCCACCATCCTCGCCCGCACTGGCCACGTCGAGCTGGTGGAGCGCCTGTTCGCCAAGGTGCGCGCTGACGGTATCCTCCTCCCGCTCTCCACCGTGCGGCTCGTCATCGACTTCTACGGCCTCTCCAAGAAGGCCGACGCGGCGGTGAGGGTGTTCCGGGAGGCCGAGTCAATCTGCGGCCCCATCTCGGGGCCCAACCTCGCGCTGCTCTGCTCGTCTCTGCTGCGGACGATGACGAAGTGCCGGAGAGGGCCCGACGCCATGGACCTCCTTGAGGAGATGATGGCCCGGGGAGTGCTCCCGGACCTGCAGACCTTCTCCGGCCTGATGGAGCACCTGGCCAGCGCCGGCGACCTCAAGGGCGTGCACCGGCTGCTCGGGCTGGTGCGGCACTGCGAGCTGCAGCCCGACGGGTACATGTACAGCGTGCTGGTCAGGGCCTACTGCAAGCGGGAGCGCGCGGCGCTCGCGCTGAGGGTGTTCGACGAAATGCGCGCCGCCGGGGTCGCCCCCGACGCGCCCACCAAGGCGCTGCTGGTGAAGAGCCTGTGGCGGGAGGGGAAGCTCCGAGAGGCGGCGCTGGTGGAGGAGAGGTGTGAGGAGGTGGTGGGTGGCCTCCCCGAGGCGTCGCCGGGGCACGTGTGGACGGCCAGCGCCGCGGACTTGAAGAAGGTGCTCGACATTTACTCCGGCTGCCTAGCTCAACCTGCTGCTCAGGCTTCAACGGGGTGATGCGCCGGTGCCACCCGTTGGTGCTTAATCACAGACCGGAAGTCAGATTCCAGAATGGCAAACTCGTCGTGGCAACATTTGGATCGGTTGCTCGTTCCAGCGCGGCTGCAGAAGAGCGGCAGAAGCATGGCAGAGAGGAGGAGCCTGTGGCAGAACGGTAGAAGCATTGCGCAAAGGTCCTGTCTCGAGTGCCAGAGTCGGGCATTGTCTCATTGATGCTCTACCTTCTGCGATACTACTGTAGAATTTGTTCAGCGTCGTTTCAAAAGAACAGAACGTGTTCACTGCTCAGCGTCATTTTCAGTACAAGTGAAGTATGAGTTTTTTTTTTCTAACGAAGCTGTTGAGAGCAATGGCTTAACAGATGCCTTGGTTCCCGGCCACCGAATGCCACACCACAATTCTGGTGGCACTAAAAACCTGCAAGCTATTTTGGTTGGTGACAAGACAAAGGCAGCCATGGAGTGTGGCGAGGAAGTGGCTTTGGATGTTTGAGAAGTTGTAAAACTGCGGGACGTCCGGACGGCCACTGCATTCGGACGCCCGCGCCTACGGTCATTTTTCCACGTCGTTTCGAGCCCTCACATAGGGCTTGCACCACCCCGAACGTCACTAGCATTGAGAAGAGAGGGAGGAGGCGGCGGATGCCCAGCCAGCACCGAGAAGAGGAAGAGACACCGAGGTGAGGCAGCAGAAGGCAACGAGGGAGATACAGCACCCGATCTACTTTTGAAACATTCAGACACAACACTTGCAACATACGTCTGAAGACAGATGAAACAAATAAAGTATGCATCTGAAACACGTGAAAAACACTTGAAACCATTGCAAAAACATACGCAACATCCAGATAAAACACTTACAAACATATATGTGAAACATTTACAATATACAGATAAACACACTTACAACATAGGTCTAAAAAACAGATGAAACATTAGAAACAAAAGCTTACAACATACGTGTACAACCATTGCAACATATGCAACATTTGGATCTACTTTTGCATCACTCATATAAAACAATTGCAACATACCTCTGAAACATTTGAAACAAACACTTGCGACATGCGCTCTCAAGCGTAACATCTACTTGCTTCTTGGACAAAGATGGAGACTCGTCGACGCTGGTGTGGAGCTCAATGCTATGGAGTGGCGTGGAGGACGCCGATGTGGAGCTCGTCGGCGGCACAGACCTCGGCAGGAGCCACGGCACGTGGATGGAGCACGGCCACAATGGGAGGCACGAGTCTAGGCAGGGGCAGCTCGAGCAGGGACGACGCGGGCAAAGGCGGGGGGGTCCATCCTGCGAGCAGGGGTGATGTAGAGCGAGCGGAGGGGGGACGGCGCGGTGGGATTCATTCCGCGAGCGGGCGACACGGGCAGGATCCGTCCGGCCTGTAAAACTAGCCTCTAGATTACAATAGGGTCTTCAAAATTGTATCTTCGTTAGTTTCGTTTGGAAAGTCCAATGGCAGGCGAAAGGAAATTTTCAGATGGATATTTAAACACGATGCCATGGATAGGTGAAACGGTGAAATCCGTTTTCAAACAAATTATGGCAGACCTATAATCATTAGCGAAAAGAAAGTATATGGGACTCATGCAACTGTATATGATTTGTATTATGTGGATGTGAGACAGAGAGAGGGCGAGGTGAGAGAAAAGCTCATTGTTTCTATAGGATCTCTGGTTAGCCTAAAGGAGTGAATAGGCCTGTTAAAACAAAATTTGAACAATTGTCAAATTCGACCCGCGGCACTGCCGCTCTGAGCCCGCGACACTGCCACGCAGCAGCACTGCCGGGCTAGAACAGCGGCACTGCCGCACCTGCAGATAACTTCGAAACACAGTTCAAAAACTGTGTATGGAAACTTAGATCGAAGAAATTACTGAGCTTCCTGCAGGTATGAAGATCACAGATCGACAGCTAGAAGTGGTAGTAATGTCTCACACAAGTAGATCGGCCACAAACCCTAGAAATCACCTCAACATAATATAAAATGCAAGTGAAGTAAATCAAGCACGCGGTGACACGATGATTTATCCCGTGGTTCAGCTCGCCACTAAGGCTTGCCTAAGTCCACATTGTTGAGGTTAGCCACCACGGCTTAGGGCTTTGCAACCCTTTCTCGTTCTCAAGTCAAGAGACTTAACTCTTGAGATAAGGGGTGAGTTTACTAGCTTCAAGAGATGGTTACAAATCTCCCGGGGCTGCTACATAAGTTGGCAAGCTCCACGGACGATGCTCTAGCTAGCTAGGAGCCAAAGTAACAAACACAACCACCGGCAAAAACATGAACCAAGTGCTCTTTAGAGTTGGGGAATCAGTGGATCTACTCTCTAATCGAGTTTGGAATGTTTTTCTCTCAAGGATTGATGAGGAAATTAAAGGGGAAAGCTTAGGAGCTCAATGTTACCAATGGAGAAGAGAAAGAGTGAGCACAAGTCTGTTCCTGTCGGTCTGAATGAGCTGGGCGAGCAAGAAGACCGTTGTGAGGAAAGGAAAGAGGTATAAATACCTCCCCTAGTTCCAATGCTCAGATAAGTCATGGCAGTGCCACTCTGCGGCATAGTCGCGCCACTGGTGCGGCATTGCAGCACTGAACCAGATAGCAAAGGTGCAAGGAGGTTATGAGCTGGCTGTCTTGGCTGAGTTTTGAGGATGCTTTTAGTATAAGATTGAGCACTTGGTTACACATGTTGACTTAAGCATTGTGTCCCCCTTTATAGTACGATTTTCCTATACTCAAATTCAAAATATAAAAACGGATAAACCTCCTTTTGAGCTTGATGCCATCACCTTTTGTAATTGGGGGCTCCTCCGTGAAGCGACCTGATTTCCGCGAAGGGAAATCCACAGAGTCGAAGTGTAATAAGACCGTTGTGATCATATTACCCAAATTCCAGTCGAATATCACATCCATACAACGATAATATCAGAGTACAAATAGTGCGGAATTACATAAATTATTACATCGCCGCATTGGCGGAGTCAAAAGTAGCATTCATTCAGAACAGCTTGAAGATAAGATCGCCAGACTTGAGCGTAGGAACGAACCCCTCAACCGTCAAACTCCTCAGAGCTATACTCCTCAGCAGAACCTGTGTGCCAAAATTTATCAGTATGATTTGTACTGGCCACTCCCACCCTATGAGCATTGCTTTGTGGAAATTGGATGCAAGTTGGATATAATCAAAAGGAACCTATAAGGCTGGGGTTTCCTATGTATTAGCATTTCAAGTATATATTAACAGTTGATCAAGTTTTAACACCATTCCCACACCCATTCCACCCCATTCCCATTCCAGAGCCAGATTTCGATCCTAGGATCGATATACCACCATCTCCACACCATCACCATACCACACCCATACCATCGCTCAGTCGACAGGCCAACTCCCTCTCGGCACTGTCTCAAGGCCCGTAGCCCCTGGCTACGTCCGAACACTCACTCCTAGGGGGAGAAGAGAAGGACTCATCTCACTATCTAGTTTAAGCGAAACCCAGAAAAGGTCCATAGTCGACAAGTCGGCATATGTATCGATCGATCAACCATACACTCTGCATAGGTTTTACATAACCACAAGATCCGCCTTCCTCACTGACCATCGTCAACTGGGCTGATTCCGACCGCTTGCTAGCCTAGAATAATGCCACTCTACCATTCAGCCCTGGTACACCCCAAGTCCAGTCTGGGGTGGCTGAAACTGTGAGTCATGAACCGGGTCCACAAGGTCTCCATGAAGTCTCAGAAGGGTGTGGGGGAAATCCTCCACGCCCCGTACCTCCTTACACTGTCCGTTATCAACCTAGCAGTAGTGGCAATATCCTACCAAGTAGTCCGGCCGTCCCGCACCATATAGGGCGAGTGGTACGTAAGGCTTCCTAGTGAATCTGAGTACTAGTAAGTCCTTAGGGATGACCAAGCCAGAATGTCTCTATCAGGGTTTCCATTTATCATGCCATCACAGCACCTCCACCCTGGACTCTTCCCATCACAGGATCACACCCAGGGCCACCTCATATACCATTTACCCACCACAGGTATCCATTCCAGGGGTGCCCAGGTAGCACCCCACGGCAAGACTTGCCCCAGGCTCGTCGTATACTCTAACTTGGTCGACACAACCCTCACCCTCCACGCACCCAAGTCACACACGCAGCACTCTCCCCATAGTCCAGATAACACCAGTTTTCCACCACGCACCAATGTAGTGCAAGCGTAGTAGAAGTAATAAGCAATGAATTATAGTAGCAAGCGTGTTACTAGCCTAACAGCAGGGTGAGCAGGGGTAAGGTTGTGTCAAGGTAAAGGCCATCAAGAAAGCATACTACCATGCAAGTCCTACCATAGTGTGATCATGACAATAAAGTAAGCACTAGCATTTTTATTTTAGCCATGCGTAATAGGTGCTACGAGATTGGGTGGGATGTGGCACCTTCAGTGTAGTCGTCTCCGTACTCCTCACGGTACTCACGATCCTCGTCCATCCGGTTCTCCTCCGAGTCTACAAACGATCGCATTATAGTCGTGTTAGCGACGTCTATAGAATAGCATAAAGAAGCAATGAAAATTCAAAAGAGCCAAATGCACTCAAACATGGGTTCATTGCATAGAGCTCGATTTTAGATGAATTTTAGTCCTGGTTTCATATTTTTCTGAGGTCATATGAATTAGTTATGAATTTCCGAAGTTTAAATCATTTCTGAAAATGGAAAAAGGCTGAATTAATCCTGAGCTGACACGTGTCATGCTGTGACTGGTCCACGTGGCATGCTGATGTCAGCATCTCGGTTCCGAGCTGACAGGTGGGGTCCAGCATGACGTCAGCATGATGTCATCAACGTCATCCATTCCGACAGGTGGGGCCAGAGGCTCTTGGGTCACTGACATGTGGGTCTGGCCAAAGTCAACGTCAAGTCGACGGCGAGTCAACGATTAACGGGTCAGGGTCACTGACATGTGGGGCCAGGGCTGCTGATGTCAGCAGCTGATG